GTCTTCTCATACTCTCGAAAAGAATCTTCTGGTTTCGCCAACTGTGATACCATGCTCTTCTGCGTATCAAATGAAGACCAGCCAAGGATAGCACTGAGTATGCCGAGTGTTTTATTGCGGCTTACCGGTTCCAAGGAACTCAAAAGTTGTCTGTAGACCTCAAATCCGGTGCTTTCTGCAACTGGTCTCAATACCAGCAGGGTCGATTCTTCAATAGTCCCGCCAAAAGACTTAGTGGGAATGAGCTGCGGCTTTTCTCCTTGTCTCCCATCAAAGAGCTATCAACTGCCGATGGATTCTTTCTCAAAGCTTCGAAGTCTGCAAGGTACTCGGCATCAAAGGACGCTATAAGTACTGTTCCAATGACCATGCAAAATCACGCCACATCGACAATTCTTCCTTTCGACTCTTAGGGGGAGAGGTAATTGCGCGAGGGTCTCCTCGCGCGGGCCCGCGGGCCCGACATTTTGCGCGGGCTCGGCCCGGGCTCGCGGGCTCGCAGGCTTGCGGGTTTGTGGGATTGATGGCACGCGTGCTCGGTGTGGAGTGCCAAATACCGGTCAATATCAATAGGTGAATTGCCACCACTAAACTATCCACACCAACGTCTTTCTGACTCTTTGAGTTGCCCTCACAAGCAAGCCTTTCGCCGTATTCCACCTGCCCACATTCATTGCAGAAGTCCTTCCTCCGCCCCCCCAAAAATGCAGGTTTATGACTGGCTGTATACGTTGGTCTTCTTTTGGGGCGGAAAACACATTTACACCGGCGTAAGCCCCAGATAGCGGGTGTATAGTTTCAAACACCACGCCACGCACAGCACGCAACATCAGACCAGTCCACCAATATGCGCAACATCTATCAGCTGAATGCACCCAACACAGACGTTAAACTGCAAGAGCGGCAAGGACCAGCCAAAGCTGTCCAAACGACATGGTGATCATTGCTGCGCAACACGGTGCCATGCGCAATATGACAGCATGTCCTCCCTGGCGTGACATGATGTCATCCCTGGCGTGACACGATGTCACATAACCTGATGCCATCCCTGGCATGACGCCAAACGAAACGCCGATCCAGAGCCAGCACCTGCACCTGCAACAACATCAGCGCGGCAGCAGCACCCGCAAAACCAAAACGCCGATCAAGAGCCACACCTTTGAGAAATAAGATGAACACCTATAGCCTGCAGCTATGGGGAACAAGGGTTGCTTTTTGCAGGAATCGGCCCGAAACCTGCACGGGCCCGCGGACTTGGCGCGGGCCCGCGGGCCGACCCTCACACTAGGACCATGACCCTCTTCGGATCAAAGACTCCAGGCTTGGGCAATGTCTACCAACTCTTTTCATCACGCCTTTGGCTCTTCAACTCTGCCAAAGCTTGAGCTGCTACTGTAGCTGCTGTGGACGCAGCCTCCGTCGCCAACATCATTCCCCCCGCCAATTCTGCTCCATCTAGCTGCTGGCCTGCAGTTCCGCTTTGGGCTTATCGCCGGAAAACCCTCTGCACCAGCCACGGCGTCACAATGAGCCTCACCCTTCCGGACTCCGCTACCATGCAAAAGCGGCTCTTTTCTTGAACCTAGACGGCCTTGCGGAGTGTATAGGTGAAACTTGAGTATGATTGAAATATCTACGTATTTTTAAAATATAAACATCAAAATTAAAATTGTTTTTTTGTGCTCTGCTTTTCTGCGAACATCGAAATCGCAATCAGTTTCACACCTGGACACCGTAGCCTTCCCGGCGTTGGCCACTCCAACTCCCAGTGTAGGCTGCTCCATGGTCGAACACATGCGTCGGTCTGCAAACGGCACCGGTTCTGGCCGGTTCTTTAATCAAAAACCAAGAAAGAAACGAAATCACATCTTGCACTGGGCCACACCTCTCTTCAGTTGCTTTTCCACTTAATGTGAGTGGCATCCCAACATCTTGCGCCTCAACGGTCGCTGTTCTTCTTATTTCACTGCGCTTTTTTAGTTACTAGAAGCTACTAGCTACTAGGTGGAGGCCATCGCTAATATCAAGAAGCTTTTTAGGTCGTCTTTGAAGCTTTCTTTTCCAATTTTTTGATCTTTTGTCCAACCGCTTCACTCTGGATGGCTTAAGTGGCTTAAGTGCTGGAGAAAGACATTGGTGACCGTGTTGAGTTTCTCATCGCGAGTGTCGCGTGGCCCTGCCGGAGGTCATGATTCAAAACACCTGACTTTCCAAGTGTGTTTGATGCTGCGCAAGTGTTCAGCATTTGCATTGACGTTTCCAGAGCAGAACGTGGGTTTGCTTAGAAGAAATACAACGTCATGTTTCTGAAAGCACACGCTTGTATTGTTGAAGTACTGAATCTGGCTTTGGAAGTTCAACGTATGTTTCTGCAAAAGGGCGCATGTACTGCTCAAAATGCACAGACGAATTTCTGCTCACAACTGCATGCTTCTGATAGGACAGCATGCCCATGGACAGAGCAGCGCGATTTTGTAAAGCTGGCAGGGACGCTCAAAATCCACAGGTGTGGAGAGAGTTGCAGGTTTAGCAAGATCCTTTATCAATAGGTGAGTTGGGCTACTAACACCATTGGATGGTTTAGCCGTAGCTATTTAGTTGGATTACCCAGACAGCTCAGTGGTTGGCTGACTTAGCTAGCCATCTAAAACTTTAGCTGACACTGACACTGTCTTAAAGGAGAAACGAGAACAATATAGTGTAACATAATGAGGGCAATGACTTGCTAAAGACATTGAGTTGTTCCAAGTAATCTTCAAACCTTGGCAAATAAATGTTCCGCTTTCCACAAGCAAACCATACGCAGCTGAAGCGGAATTCTGTCGGCGATGTATTCAATTGTGTTCCGCGCGCGCTTTTGTTGGGACGCCTGCAGCTACACTGCAGAATTTGTACTTTTCGCCTGCTTTGCTGGCACATTTGGCCATGGTCAGTTGCACATTTCGCTGCGCATGCTGCCAGGGGTGTCATTGGTTGAGTCTACAGACATATACAGCCACACTTGGCGTGGAAGCGTTCCTGGTGCGCCAGCCGAGAAGAATCAAGCGATGACTTCAGCGCGTCTAGGGAATGAAGGGGCGGCGTGTGAGGAAATGGGGAGCGGAGCAGCTGGCGAAGGATGGGTCGGCAGTGGCTGTCGAACGCGTGACAGACGGCTGCGATGACAAATCTAAGGAAACAAAGCCAGTCCCAAAGCAGACAGCAAGCGCCCAGCACAGGAAACGAAGGCGCGTCACAAGCTCCAGGCAAAAGAAGCAGTTGAGGAAGAGCTGGGCGAACCACAGGGGTGTGAAGCTCCTCAGCAGCCAAAAGGTCGTAAAGCGTGTGCACTTGCTTTGTATATACTCGGCGAGCCCTTTCTTCACACGTGATACAACTACCGCGCGTCCCAACTGCATGTGTGCAACGAATACCTTCACTGACACCTACCGGGCATCGGGAAACTGTCGTGGCGTGAAAAAGAATTGTATCGGCGATTCATGCGCTCAGCGAAAAGAATTGCTGACTTTCCTTCGCGCTGGTTGCGGCACGAACGTTTCAACAGCGGCAGCCGGGCCCGACAGAGATCGGAAGGCGTCCTCCCAAGAAGGGGCACACACCTGGCACCTGGCTAAGACTTGCTATTTAATATTGCACCTACAGCTTTCTTCTCCAACATGGAAGATCCGCGCGCCCGGCTTTCCGTTGTCGAACTCGGGCCACTTCGCTGGCCATGTGAAAAGGTGTATGTGAAGTGGAATGAAATCTTTCACTCGAAGGCTATGCGTAGGAATCTCAAGGTGTGCTCTGCTTCCGGCTCGTTGTTCTTGGCCCTCCTTCTGGTAGACTAGGAGGGTCTCCAAATCCCACCAGTCAGCATCCCGTGGCGGGTTGTCCCTGTCAAGAACTTCATTTCCATGTTCAGTTCTTGGTTCTTGTTGGACTCCTTCATGGCCTACCTCCATCTCACGTGTGAGGTTCACAAAGTGCTGCGCCTGCCACGAAATCTGCACATCGAGGTTCACAAAGCGCTGCGCCTGCCACGACATCTGCACATGGAGGTTCACAAAGCGCTGCGCCTGCCACGAAATCGACTAGATTACAGCTAATGTAAATGTTCGCAACACGGAAGTTCCTCTAAACTTCCTTTGATCATCTTACCTGCGCACGTTCGGGTCTCCAATCACTGTGCCTACCAATGAAGCAATGGGCTCAAACATGAGCCTTTCAAGCTGTCATTGTCCATACTTCAGTCGTCCGGGCCGCTACCCCCCGTCTTGAAATCTTCATGAAATGAAATGCGAGCTCGCGTGTCCAACATGTCCAAAACACAAACAAAATGTTGATGGACATATGCCCAAAGTAACATGATCACAAATGACACTTGTCCTTTGTCATTCTTCGTTCATTGTCAGCTGGTGCTTTGTTGCAGCGTGGAACCCCGTACGCCAACGTTTCGAAAGCATCAAGCATGTGAAAAGGTTGAAGCATCAAAGGTTTCTCTAAAAGAACACATGTGTCATGACAAAAAGAATTTAAAAAATGACATTAGTCTGTCATTTTTTGGAATCGTACTAATTGTGAACGGACTTCGTTTTCGTTTCGCACCGACGGTGTCACATCGCCTCCAGAGCTTGACCCTGTGGGTCTTGACCTCGTTACCGTCGTGTCCTCATCACGGTCCTTTTTCGTTCTTTCAGTCCTTTTGATTTCATCTCTTTTCATCTCTTTTCATGTTGTCGTTCAGAAACCATCTAGTGTCCCGAGCTTTCCTCAGGTTCGGGCAGCAGCCATTGTTGCCTTGATGTGTTTTGTGTTTTTGATCCGTTCACATCGACGCTTTTCTGCCAAGAAACAAGAAGCGCCCATTTTTGCGCTTCAAAAAGCGAGGCAAACGCGCCCGCTTCGGACGAACCGGCTTGAACCAAAGATCGCAAATTGAGAAATCAAATGCCCTTTGTCTGCCCTTCTGGCTGGGTTTGGACCACATGCGGTCCAAGATCTGTTTCGGCCCTCACCTTTTGCGCAGCCCACTGGCAGATGCCTTGTCCCATTGTTTGGTGGGTCCTATCGTCAGCCACACTTGACGTCATTGATGAGCTTTGGCAGGTTGGAACGGACAAAAGGTGGACTGTATCGCATGAAATACTGCAGGGCAAGGTACATGGCAGCGAGCGAAGAGACGGCTTGAAGGGTCGAAACAGCCACCCTCAAGACTAGCCACCCTCGTAGGTCGCGACACATGTTGCGCACGTAGCGTAGGTCGCCCTGAAACAAGCAACGGCTCAGTCAAATGGCTCACAAGCCCCAACTGCTTTGCCAAGCGGCGCACATTGTCTAACTGATTTTCGAGTTGGGTCAAGCGTTCGTCCAGAAAACGGACTAAATAACCATTGACGTTCAATATCATCTCAGCACACCTGCGACCCGTCTCAGCAGCTGCAAAATAGTCACGAACATGCGCGATCTCGATGTTGTTCAACTCACCTGACTCTATTCAGGAAGTCCCAAGCCTCGATCATGCCGTGCCAACATGAAAACATCACACCGCAATGCACAACATCCAAAATATGACTTCCGCTGCCTTGCAGCAAAACATCCTCTTGCCCTGGCGCTAACAACTTCAAAGCAGGGCGCACATGAGGGCCAGATGTAAAATCACGTGTTTGGAGGAACTCTTGCAGTGGCAGACATACGTCTCTATTGGTTTTGTCGAATTGGGTTCTGGCTTCAATGAAATGGTCTTTCAGGCTGCTGATGTGTGGCTGGATGTGCATGTCGATGTCACCATCTTTCCTAAAGAGTCTGGACACGTCGATCTGCAAATGTTTCGCATACATTGACTCGACCTGGACGTGTAGTTCCGTTGACAAATCATGCATCCGCTGCTGCCCACAGCGACGAAGACGATGAGCATGAAGGCGACGACTCCAGGTCCTCCTGTGGATTGTGACACGCAAAAACAGGCAGCTGGTAACAAACTGATAATAATCAGCAGCAGCAAATGTCTGCTTTCTACCTCGGCTGCAGCTTGCGTGAGGATGAGCAAACTAAGCTCTATATATTGGCGCCCAGTGTTGAATTGAAAAAATATCCTCTTGGCAAGGCCTAACCAGTGGTGTCTCTCACAATAACCGTGCAGCTCAGCATGAAAGGAGGTGCATGTCACATGGCTACAAGGGAAGGGTCGGGTTTCATCCAGTATGTCCACTCGCTGTTCTCCAACGCTATCTTCTGTCTCTTCAGCTTCACTGGAGTAAGCCCTACCATATCGATTCGAAACTGCGCCGCAGCTGCGGCGTGACTCGAGTGAAGCGAAGCCGAGTCAACCCAACACCAACTTGTTGTAGCCACCAAATGACACGCAAACACCGGAAGTACAGCCACTGGAAGCTCCTCGGACAAAATCGAAGCCCACACCGGCGACTTGGTAAGCCTTCAATGTTTATCCAGAGATCCAAGCTGCTACCTCTCCGCTTCAAAGACCTGATGCTTTGGTGCAGCTCTGTCCTGACTTCCGATACTTGGCCGCATCCACTGAGATCAACCAAATTCTCCAGGTTCCTCAAGGAGAGAAAGGCTGCGTTCAAAGATCCCAGCTCCTCCAATCCCGGTAAGTTCATGAACCTGCGCAGGGATGAAGCCAGGTATGCAAAGGAAAGGACGACTTTATAACGAAACATCATAAATAGAAAGATGCGTGCTTTACGACTTTTCATCACCGGAAACCAGAGTTCCAGGTCCACGAGGTTCTCCATCTCTCGCAGCAAATCTGCAAGGCCTGCTGCACTTCGGAATGATGATGAGCCCGTGAAGCGCAACTCCAGTTGATCCAATGACTTTGCGAATGGAAAACGATCTGTCTTCACACAATCCCAAGTCTCAAGGGCAGAAAAACCTAAATCCAGATCACCAGGGAGGTTCTCCAGGAGACGTTTAAGCTCACTGTCCGAGAAATGCTGGCATCCAGTAAAGGAAAGTTGCACCACCTTTCGACCATCATCCAACCGCAAAGCCCTTGCAAGGGCTTCTGTTTGTTTCCCTTGCAAAACGAAGCCACGCCAACTTGCCAAAGCAAAATGCGAAGCAAGAGCTTTATCTACGCGCTCGTAGTTTGGATGCGCTAAGGGGTTTGACTGTGAATCCTTTAGCTCTTGAGTATTCAAACGAGGAAAAGCAATGCTGTTGAGGATCCGCACTTTGTCTTCCTGCTCAGTGGCACTTGCTTCCTAATGTACTTGCTCAAAAAACACAAACTAATTGCGCACATACTTGACGCTTTTCGTATTATGATATCCTAAACATAAAGTGTATGATATGCCCTTTGGACAGCATAAACATTTTTACAGGTTCTATCTTCGCACCAAGTGTCTTCAATCTTCACCTCTAGGCCTTGTTCCAAAATGCTCGTGGGAAAACCACGTTCTCGGACCGACTTCTGGCGCAGCCCAACGATGTCAATCATACGACTCTCAGCTCCCGCCAGACCGTCGGTAAGCACATGAGCCTCACATAGCACGACATAGCCCTGGCTGACACATGATGGACTCAAGAAAAACACATACTGTTTGCTTTTCTTTTGGCATGCTTCGCAGTCTGAATGAAACCCATGAAATCTCTTCCCCATACAAATTCAGTTTCAATAGTAATGGGCTCATCAGAACATTTTATGCGCTCTGTGCACAGCGCAGTGGTTTTAACAAACGACTTCTGGACCAATTGTCCTCGCGATGTTCGGTGGCCTCAGAAACTTAACGGTTTAATTGGCAATCAAAAGAACGACCGTGGGGAATCGATGACACACATGGGTGTGGCCAGAAACCCTGGTATGGATCGTTCCGCGCTGCAGTGAGAGTGATCCAAACCCTATGGATCAGAGCGCTGATCCAAGCCCTATGGATCAAACCGACAAGTCACTTGATCCAAGCCCCCGACATGAACACATCTGCATGGTGGCACTTCACCCCACCACTTTCTCACCAATTCACTGTGAACTGTGAAGGTGGTGGCTTCCCAGATCAAAGCCATCCTGTTTGTGGCAAGCCTGTTTTGAAGTTCTGGCCACTGTGAATTTGGGCTCCACTGTCCACATATTGCGCATGGTTTGGCATAGAGTGGTAGCAATGAGTGTTGGGGCTCATTCTTTCTCCAACTCAAGCAGACGATGCAAGAAGCCCAAAAAGGCCATCAGCTGGCCACGCGTATTGCTGACTCAGTGGGCTCTCAAGACATTTAACAGGTGGTGGCTTCAGCTCTAGATTAGAGGCTCACTCCGAATACTGGTTGGTGGCTGCCGCTAATTCTGTTTGGCCTTAATATTGTACTCTAGCACCTTCTTTAATATGGGCTATTTGGGTTGGCTTCTCCACTCAAAGGGTTGCATAGCCTAATAGTAAAAGCGTCGGTTTCCACTTTTTCACTTCCACAGTGTGAGGGTTCGAATCCGGCTGTGATCACACTTAGTGGCTTCCGGTAATTAATTTTGGGCTGGAATGGGAAGTCAATTTGAAGTTGAGTCTAGTGGCTTCCGCTAAATCTGTGGTGGT